AACACCTAAACACTAATATTTCAATACGAACAAAAAATAAAAACCATTTAAATACTTATTTAAGTTTTAATTTATTAAATTTATTAATACCTAGAGTGAATAGACAAAATGTCACATTAATATTAAAAAGTTTGACTTGAAATTACTAAGCTTGCAGTAACATAACGTAAATTAGGGTTACCAGTGAATAAATTAACAATAATACGATGATAGGTAAGAGATAAAATATAAAGCTTGCACGATTATCCATTAAATAAAAACCATCTTTGCCAGTTATTTTATAAGAGTCTATTACCATACATCAGTGATTATTTCAGATTTTTTAGCTTCTACTGGGAATTTCAGTATTATACTTTGCCTGACTTCGACTGCCTGATATTTTTTTGGAAATTTATTTACTTTAATAAATCATCATGCAAGTTACAGTTAAAAATACTTAAAACTAAATATATTTAGAGATCTTATAAGCATAGCATGGACTTAATTCGCAAGATCTTTAATTCCTTCAGCTAAAAAACTTATTAAAAAGTTGGTCACATTTTAACATTTCATTAATTTAGACATTTCATGTCTTCAATATCCAATTGATCGATTGCGATCATATCCGATAGGAATTACAATGAGTACAAATGACTTCCATAAAATTAGGTATATAAGACGCGTATTTTTACCTAATTTACAAACAATTACAGTGCTTTATAGTTATAGTCGAAATATCACATGATGTCACGTAAAAATACAGGTCAAATATTACCTTTTTTATCTAACTGATAGATCTATTAGCCGTCACATTGGGCTATAAACGACAAGCAAAATATAATTACTTTATGACGTTTTCTTGTCTGCTACGGTGGCTACGACCGACAGTATTGGATTAGTGCAAATTTTGATTGTCGTCTGTAACCGATCGATGCGGTCAAAAAATGAAATGTCATTTTGTATTTTTCGTTATTTATATTTTTTACGAGTACGATCGCAATCGTTTAATACACAGCTTAACTCTACCTTAGAATCATTCCGACATAGCCTAATGATGGCTAACGTTGTTATGCTGACCAAATGGCGCTACGGTAGTTTAAGGTCATATTTGTATGTCTAATCAGTGGGTATCACGGTTGATTGGTGCATTGTGTCGCGGGTCTGATTCCCGTAAAGAACAACTTCTTAGTGTGTAGGTGTGATGTATATGTGAATTTATTATACATGTACATTCATATGTACAACACAGAAAAGAATCTTAGTGTGGGGCTACGTTTGAAAAACTTGTAGCTGTAAATTGATTTGCTGGTTGTTTGATGGCTTGCTGGCTGTTTAATAGACACTAGGAAATAATTTATTGGTCAAACATGAGCCCATTAGCGCCATTTGGTAAGCAAAACAAACGTAAGCCGCCATTACTCTCTAGATAAATACATACAAAATATACTCCACTATTAAATTTAGATTTTATTCATCGATAATTACAATGGAGATCTGGAGATCCCCTATACCGGGTAAGTCTAATCGATATTTTTCAAAGCTAATGTACTTAAGCTCATTTTCGAAAACATACAGTTTTTAGTCTAAGCTGGAGTTGTTTTTTCTAGCAATAGGTATTATTAGAATGTACTTACTTTTTTTTCATTAGGTAGGTTTGCCACTTTATTTTATACTAGCGACCCGCTCCGTCTTCGCACGGGTGCAAAATGCATAATTATTATTATACATATAAACCTTCCTTAAGGATCACTCTATCTAATTAAAAAACCGCTTCAAGATCCGTTGCGTAGTTTTAAAGATCTAAGCATACATAGGGACAGACAGCAGATAGCGACTTGTTTTATACTATGTAGTAATTAAAATCTTCCAACGTAATTTAACAAATAGTTCAATTCGCAATCAAAATAACAATTATATAAATATTCTTATTACACTGCTTATTCATTTATGAGAGGTTTATTTAAAACATATAGACAGAATTATTTAATATTCATTATTATGACATTTTTCATAATTACTATAACTTTCGTGTGACTTAATGTCGGAATACTGAAACGCTACTCAATTTTAAGTCGTGCTTAAGTATAGTTCTATCTCTACAAATTCTTTGTAAAATGACAGAGATGGCACGATGTTTGAGCACGACTTAAAATTGAGTAACGTTTCAGTATTCCAGCAATAGGGACTAAATTAAACTGTCAAACACCAAGCGGTCACCGGTGACCGCAGCCTATTGTTCTTTAATTGTGTCTATAAATACGGTACTCGATGAGTTAATTCGGCTGACTCACGTATACACTGTTTAACGAGGATCTTCTAACATCTCTAGGAGCCTCTAGCATGTCTTGAAACTAGTCAAAATCCTCGTCAAACAGTGACGTGAGTAAGCCGAAAAATTAATAATTAATTATGACATCTATTTAGTTTGTCGTTAATATGTATAAAATTGAATAATCATTATTGTAGAAAGGTGAACTTATTATAATATTCATAGAAGAATTATAGACAGCAGAGCAGGGCACTTACTCTTGAAACTAATCTCAATATCAAATCAATTTCAATCCAATGACATTCTAATAATTATTCAATGACATCACTAAACAACCCCTATCGTATCCTGTGTAAATAGCATTCAGAGTATGGAATAGACACAATTATAGAACAATAGGTTGCGGTCATCGGTGACCGCTTGGTGTTTGACAGTTTAATACCATTTAGTTCATTCAATATCCACGCAATATGGATGCAATGGGCGTTAGTATTGCAACTCAATAGTACGAAAATTCATAATAACAATGTCGATCGATAGGAATTGGTTTCAAGAGTAAGCCACACCAAAACTCCACAAGTTGTGAGAGGGATACTAGATAGTGTTATCCCTTTCCATCCTTTGGTGCTTAGTATAAAAATTGGTACAATATTCGTCTTATAAAGTAAATTAATTGTCAGTCACATTAATTTATTACGTAGGTCACTACAAAAGTTTTGTCGTATGACAAATAGTTAATAGTTATAATTCAACTGAGGGTAGATTCTAATACATCAACTAATGTCAACATATTTTGCATAAGTTTCGTTGGAGTAACTAGCTTAGTATTTTTTTAGTGAATTTTTTAACAATTGGATATGTCAGATTTAAATCGTCGTGACGTTCGGGTGATAATTTTGTATAACTTTAAGCGTGGATTATCAAAACAACAATGCTTCGAAGAAATGAGTGGTGTGTTGGGTGATAATTGTCCATCCCTTAGGACTATAGAAAGATGGTTTTTACAATTCAATCGCGGCAATTTTAATTTAGAAGACGATTCAAGACCGGGCAGGCCGATTGACGCAACCACTGATAAGAATATTGTGGCTGTGCGAAAAGTGATTGAAGGAGATCGCCATGTAACATACCGTCAGATCGAGGAAACACTCAATTTAAGTGCACCAACTATTCATCGAATTCTTCATGAAAACTTAGGAGTACGAAAGCTTTGTTCACTTTGGGTACCACATTTGCTAACTGATGCGATTAGGGAACAGCGCGTCAAATGGTGTAAAGAAATGTTAAAAAAATTCAATGACGGCAAATCTAACTATGTGAATTCAATTATCACTGGTGACGAAACCTGGCTGTATTATTTCGACGTTCCAACTAAATCCCAGAGTAAAGTGTGGGTGTTTGAAGACGAAGATCCTCCGACGTCCGTTAAAATGTCCCGGTCAGTCAAAAAAAGAATGGTAGCCGTATTTTTCTCCAGAAGAGGTATTTTATCAATAATTGTGCTTGATAAACAGAAGACTGTGACAGCTGCCTGGTACACTGAAAAATGTTTACTTACCTCAAGTTTTAGAATCTTTGAAAAATGAACGTCCAAACTCAAGACTCGACACTTGGTTCTTGCATCATGATAACGCTCCCGCGCATCGAGCCGGCAAAACTGTGGACTATCTGAGTCAAACTGGGATCAAATTACTGGGACACCCTCCTTATAGCCCAGACTTAGCACCGTGTGATTTTGGCCTGTTCCCATATGTAAAAAAGCAACTAAAAGGCCGCAAGTTTACTAATGATGACCAACTTTTAGGTGCTTTTGAGGAGATATGCAGCAGTGTGCAGGAAGGATTCTGGAGCGACATCTTTGATACGTGGTTTGCACGTATGAAGACCTGCCTAAGTGCCAATGGAGAATACTTCGAAAAAAAATAATATTTCACGGAGTACGACAAAACTTTTGTAGTGACCTACGTATTTATGTAGTAGACAGTCCTTTCTATTGCAGCTCGATAAGATTTAACACTGTTTTAAAATTGGGGTCCATCTTAATTTTAGTCACATTATAACTTTCGTGTGACATACTAAATTAATTAGTATTTTACGGCTAACTCACGTAATTATTTGAAGTCTAGTCGTCGAGATCCTCGTCAAATAATAGGGTAGTTTCCTAAATTTTATTTTAATGTCCGTCTGGTAGATTATTTTAAAACATTCGACACGTATTTTCTTTTCTCACATAATTAAATGCTTTCGACGATATATTGATTTGGAATGTCATGTGACGTCACAGCGTGCTACGAAATGTAGCACGCTGTGATGTAACGACCTCCCACTCCTAAACTTAACTCCATTTTATCTAAGTATTGTAACTTCACACGAGTAAATAAAAAAACACGTGTCTAATATTTTTTCATTATCTAACTGACGGACAAATTAGATTTTTAATTTTCTTACCCTGGAAACTATCCTACTATGAAAGTAAGCCGAAAAATATAAAAATTAATATTAGTCCGTAAAATTTAGTATTTTAGTATAAAATTTCTTCGTCGAAACACTTCACAGTTTACCCTTACTCTTTTTGGGATAAGTCATTTTGGCACTAGTTTTTTTTTTGGCGTTAGCCATTATCTTGCCTGGTGGTAAGCAAAGACGATGATTACCTTTACAACTGCTCCCAATAGGGTTTTCCTCAAAATTCCCATTTTCCGTTCCGAATGTTAGATCTCACCTCGCCTTGCCGCTTCGATTTTAGTGTTTCTCAGTGTATTTCATAGGTACTGGTGACTCTCGTGCATGCAAACTGATTGCGTGCGACCCTTTTCCCGTTCACAAGAAGAAGTAGCGGATTGTTGATACGTATTGACTTGAAGTCGAAGCTCTGGAATTGTTTATTTTACATTATTAAATCAAAAGTTTTTTATGTACAATAATAAGGGACAAATAATAAAATCAATTGCTGTTTGTTAGTCTCGCTAAAACTCGAGAACGGTTGAACCGATTTGGATAAGTGTGGTCTTGAATTATTTATGGAAATCACTTTTACCTAATGTTTGAGGCGATAGGAAGTTTGTTGGATCAGCTAGTATGGGATAACTAATAAAGTTTAGTTTCCAAAGAGATACATATACCTACTATTGTCTGGACTTTAAAAGAGACGGACCTCTGAGTTTGTTTCGACATTTCTTCTCAGAGTAGTCAGTTAGAAAATGTCGACCTCATCGTTCGCTTGATAAAATTGACGTGTAAAAATGCTGCCTTGTAGCCTATTTGCAGAAACAAATTCACTTGTTTCACTTGTTACTTTAATTCAAATGCTTGGTATAGCCAGCAATAAATAAAACAAAAAAAATATTCTGGTAATTAAGGAAATACTGACTTCGACCTATTTTCTAACGCTAATTAAGGCAATGGATTTTCATAAAATTAAATCTAATTATTTAGCGATAGAAATAGACTTAATTTTCTTGCACCAAACAATACATAGGTAATCTAAATACACTTACCACTCAAAAATAAAACCAGATCTTCTCTACACTAAAAAAATACAAATACTGTCTTACATAAAAAAAACTAATTTTACAAACAATACTTACCACATCATCCGCTTCATACTTGTGTGTGCGCATGAGTGGCTCGGGTATGGTGACACAGTCGCCTATGATGGCGCCGCGACCGTCCGCCCAGTTGTAAACCGTCACTAGCACGCATTCCATGCTCTCGTCTATTAGAGCGAATGTGCTGTAATAGATGACAAGTAGATTTCAAACGTTTGTAGGCATACATAAAGTAGAAGTTATTGCGACATATTAATTTTTGACTGCCTCGTTGGCCAACTGGTCGCAAGTCCTACTGCTGGGCAAAGTATTACTGGGTTTTCAAAAAAATCTCAGCAGTAGTACGGATTCTGGAATTGTGCCCGGTATATGGCAATAGGCTCACCACCTATTGGGATGGGACTCATAACATAAATAGTGAAAAGTGGGTGTTAGATCGTACAGTGGCATTAAGTGCCGTATAACGTGTAACTCTGCCATAAAAGGCGTGATGTTATGTTATGTTTAATTTTTGTTTACACATTACACAATAATTTAACGCCCAAGATTTTTTATCCTGACTGTTTCTTTGAGAATTGCAGCAAATCGAGGAACAGAAAAGAAATCGAAATAACTATTGAACCGTTAAGAATTCGACTAAGATCCTCGCGGTAAAAAGTTAGGCAATAACCTCCCTTATATCCGCCCCAGAACACGCTATATACCTACAGTATACACAGTACTATTTCAAAATCCAAATGCAGCTAGCAATGACAGGCCCATATGGTAGATAGGATAATAGGTACCCTATACGTTCAATAAAAATGTCCTAACAAACCAAACATGTACAGTGAAGTTCCCTAGATGGTGTACAACAACACATACCACACAAACTGTCGTCGTGTGATCCCATCCTGGTGGTAGAGTTCCGTGACGGGACGTGCAGTGTTCCAAGCAGTTAAACTAAGTATCCATTAGGCAAGCATTCAAACAAGAGAAAAAATACACGTGCTTTTTTAAAACGGAAACTTACAAATGGGAGGAGACTGTTTATAAAACTATTTAGGTATACATTCTAGTTATTTTTTATGACAACTATCGTGAGACATAGTAAAATAACTATAACTATTTAAATCGCGGGTTACTCACGTGAATATACTGAGAAAAGCTCTACTACTTTCGAACCACAGAGGGGTTCTTCCTCATGAGCGGCGTGCGCGGTCGCGGCTATTTAATAAGGGACAAGCCCGCCACAACCTCCCAAAACCGCTGCATCTGCTGTAAGTCAGTCGGCGGTCGCGGCTTTGTCGCCAATGTCTCGCAACCTACTGGCTAGCGTTGGGGTTTGCGTCGTTGTTACTTGTGCTGCGAGCACACCGCGCCCTCTGCCGGAAACCACGCGCGTTTGCTTCCAACTCCGGCATTGTGGTTCGAAACTAGTAGAGCTTTTCTCAGTGTATTTTCACGAGTGTTTGCGAGTAACCCGCGATTATCAAAAACTAATATTTCTGTTAGACTTTTTGAAGGATAAGGGGTAAAGAAGCAGATGGATCACCAAAGTAGATGGCTAAGTGATCAGCGTTACATGGGTAGCACTGATGACTAACCCATGGAGATCATCACAACATAAGAGAATACCTTCCCATGGCAAAATACACTCAATTTCTAAGTAAATATTGCATTTAGTAAATTAAACTGTCAAACACCAAGCGGTCACCGGTGACCGCGACCTATTGTTCTTTAATTGTGTCTATAAAACCGGTACTCGACGAGTTAATGTACTATCATCAGATTAAAAAAAAACTTAGTTAAGAAGAATTAGAAGGGACTTAAATTAAATTTTGTAAGTCTAAAGAAGACGTAAGTTTCTATTCTAAAATTCTTAATTATGCTAGTAAATATGAAGTAAGTAGTGAGCTAATGGCTAATGACATACTGCAAAGAAAATAGTATGAAACATTTTGAAAATAACAATTTTTTTAATTCCTTCAAGTACTGGGAGTACCGACACCAAGTGATAACGACAAATAGGTCACCAAATTGTGAATTTCTTTAACAGATTTTCAACCTTATCCTTTAGTAATAAAGTTAAAAATCGGTTTGTTACACTACAACTAAGCAATCGATTAATGTCGTTATGTCAGAGTTCTTCTTAGTTAATTAGTTAGTAAGGAAATGTCGACTTTAAGTTCGCGTAATAAAATTAACGTGTCAAAGTGCTATTTTGTAGCCTATTTGCTTTTTTATAAAGTATAAATTCACTTGTTTCACTTATGATGTCGAGAATTCCAAGCCAGTAATAAATAGGTGTAATATGTAAATATAAAATGGTGAGATATTCATAATATTTATACAATAATGAGGACGATAAAAGCAAAATAGATCATGAGTTATTTTCATATCTTGTAGATTAAAATACTTCATATTTTAGAATGTATGTAGCAGATACTATTTATTTACAGCTAAAATATGGTATTTAATGTATTTTTTTCTAATGTGGTCTAAGTCTAGCCTAGGCTAGGGAATGAAACTGTACAATTCTATAAAAACCTTACTGAATATATAAATTAATAATTACTCACAATGGTACCGCATTATCGTTGTGTATGGAGCCCACAACTTTGCCCAGAATCACCCTGGCTTCATTAGGACCGTCTTCCAAGGCATCCAAGCGAGTATGCTCAAGCGCCACCTCACGGCGACCGGCAAAAGCATGTAGACCTTCGCCGTAGACGCCCAACATCTTTTTGTCAATGGCCTGGAAATATAGAAATAGAATAAGTATTTTTTACGTGCTGACGGTAGAAAAAATATTGGTGTGGTGACCAGTGACCACCCAAGGAACCATATATTCGACAGAAACCAGACATAACTGAGGCTTTACTACGTGTTTATTTTACACCATAAACTTGTTTTTTTATGGGATGGTAAGCAATCAGCGTCGCCCATGGACATCTGGAACACCAGAGGCGTTACAATTGCGTTACCGGCCTTTTGGTATTAGAAATATGAAGATTGTTGGGGATTCAGGGATGGGGGGGAGGTAATTAGGCCTCTGGTAAACTCATTCACACGACGAAACACAACGCAAGCGCTGTCCACGTCGGTGTTCTGTAAGGCTGTGGTATCACTCCGGTCGAGCCGGCCCATTCGTGCCGAAGCATGGCTCCCCCACACTTGTTACTCGTTGTTTCAAACGAGACCACGATCGGCGCTGTGATTGGCCGACTCCAATGAACCAACCAATAAGAGGCCTTAGTACGGTTTGTTTTACGTTTAAAAGTAATCGAAACAAAACCACGTTCAGCGCACTGATTGGCCGGCTCTAATGAACCAACCAATCAAAAGGCTTAATACGAGTTCGTTTTACGGTTCAAACCGCCGAACGCGTACTCGTTGCGATAAACGTCAAATAAACTCTTACTAAGCACTCTGTTCTTTGAGAAATCTAAACCATTAAAACTACAACCCACTTAGCAAGCGCCGCTAATGGCAAATCAATCTAATGCAAAGGAAAACAGCAGACCGTCATGGACCGTTGATGATGATAACGGACAATAGAATAAATACCTTAACCTAGAGTACCTAGGATCTAAAATAAGTTTACCTGCACCATAGTAGCCAGTTTCTTAGCCTTCAGTTTGCCCCTGGTCCGCACCAGGCTGTGAGCTGCATTCAAGAAGGTGACCAGTCTCATTCGCTCTTGCTTCGGAGGCTGCCACGGTGGGTCCAACCGACTGGCATACTCAAAGTTAAATAATGCTTCGTCATAGATCTCTGAATATTTTAGAGCCTGAAATGTTATAATAGTTAACTAAAACCTTATTTATTAATCTAATTTACTTTGCGATTGTATCCGAACAACATGTTTAAATATTCAGATGAATGTTTCTGTAGCATTTCGGTACCTATTTATTAATAGGCGTTAATAATAGATAGTGTAGAAAAACTAAAAATATAAAAACCAGTAAAATCATAGCTAACTAAGAAAAATAACCAAACATAATTCTGTTAGAATGGACTGTTTACACAACAAACTAGAGTAAATAAGCTCTAATCTAATTAAAGGGATTTCCTATTTACGTAACAGTAGGTACGAGAACAACCTGTATCCTTACTAATATTATAAATCGGAAAGTGAGTTTGTTTGTTCCACTTTCACGCCGTAACTACTAAACCGATTGCTTTCAATTTTTGCAGATGTACAGTTAGAAGTCTGGATTAAATAATAGGGTACTTTTATCCCGGAAAAATTAGAAGAGGGGAAAACGAAATTATTGGTATAGATGGCGCTGTGTATATTGGTATATGTCATATAGGCTACTTTTTATCCTTTTGTGACGCGAGCGAAGCCGCGGGTAAAAGCTAGTTGAAAATACAATAAACAGTTACTTGAAAGTACAATAGAAAGAAAACATGGTTAAAATAACACTTACAATTCCCTTATTGTAATACAAATCAGGCTGTCCTTTAGCGATGGGGTCCAACGAAGCCTGCTTATAAGCGCTCATACACAGCTTCAATGTAGCAGGATCTTGAGCTACCATGAAGAACTGACACAGATAGGCATTGCCCAGCACAGACCAAGACACCCCATCCTTGATGTCCTGGCTAACAGCTTCCTTAGCCAAATCGACGCTTTTCATAATAGCTGCATGGGCTTCTGAACGCTTTTTATCACTGTTCTCCTGGCGCAGAATGATTGATAGGCATCGCAGTGACAAACGATTGCATTCCTAAAATAATATGATTTATACGCATAAACCTAGTGCAGCATTAGTACATAGTTAAATATTTAAACATTAATAAGGAATTAGAGATAATAGAGTAAAACATTTGCTGAAATTAATACCCATAAAAAGAAAATATAGAAAATATTTATGCTAACAAAGGCCAAAACCTCACTAAAAATATAACTTACATGTTTCAAGGCACCTTCAAAACTAGATTTCGCCTCTTTTACATTCATGTTTTTCCAATAGCTTTCTCCAAGTTCATTCCATGCATCTATTAGCGCTGGGCAAAGCTTAACAGCCTTACTGAGGCACTGTGTAGCTCTTGCATCGTAAGTAGGGCTTATGTTATAGCATCGTCCTTTCATGTAGAGGAATTTGGCTCGAAGTACTTCGGGTATTTGCGTGTCCACTAAATTCATTTTAAAGACAAACGTAATGAGAAAATTAAATTTTGTTAAAACGAGTAGTTGTAGATTCTTTAAACAGCTAAAAGTGTTTGTTTTTAATTAATTAATCAATAATATTCACAAATTAAACTAGCTCTTAACTAACTTAACTCTAGCTATTTATTATTTAGTTTATATTTTAAAAATAGAATAATTTACATTACATGCTATTAATAGTTTATCAATAAATAAGATATAATATTCACATCATTGTAAAAATCTTATAAGTTATTTGTTTTGATAACATTGATTCCAATTAGTGTTGTTAAAAAAATTCTATCCAAGTCTAAAAACATAAAAAGAAGAAAAACCTCACCATCAATTGACTCGAATTTCTCAACTAACACTTCTTTCTTTTCTTCTACCCGTTTATTTTTCTCCAGAGCCAAATCAATAGAGTGGTTTTCAAAAAACAAATCCCTATATGAATAAAGATCTTGAAGTTCTTTCTGTAATGAAAAAATTCGAGTTAAATACTTCATCATAATTTTTTTTATAAAAATATTTATTGTTTCTATATTGAACCACGTTTTTATAAGAACGAAGAAAGTTTTCCTTGAATTAGAGTAAATAAAACAAATAAATAACTGTACTAATTTTATTATATGAGCAACATGGTTTTATACTTACTAATAAATTGTCCATCACTTCCTCTACATTTTCTAAGATATCCGCTTCTGTATCAGAATCTAAAGACATCTTTAAGCTTCTTATTTGACGCCTAAATTAATTAGAGATCTCAATATTAATTAAATTTAATCACCGACCGACACCAAACCCGAAATTCATTGAAAAATACTAAAACCCACAGAGTCAAGCTAAGTATTTTATTTTGCTGTCAATGTCAAGTTATCAAGTGTCATACTCATTTTACGGATCTATGATGCTACGTTTTGTTTCATTTAACCGGAAATGCAAAGGCTGTTTTTTTAAATGGTACATTTTATTTTAAAATAAAATTCATTTTTATATGATTTCATAACACTTTTTTCAGGTGGTTACAACTACACTTCTACAGTTATTTTTATCAGTGATCTACAGTAATAAGTTTGACATTTCGTTATCAATGGTAATGATAAAACAAATAAACAATCACTCATCTGGTGAACTGACTCAACTCAAAATTGTGTAAATTGTCAAATAAAGTTGTCTTTTGTCTTGCGTAGACGCATTTATTTAAAGATTGCACCTTTTTTAATATTATTTTATATTCGTAATTCTTTATTCACTGTAATTATATAACAATGGCATATTACACAGACATCATAGTAGACAAAAACGGTGAAACGCAATGTGGATTGTGTAAAATATCCGTCCCTGATAATGATATTTCGATTGAGGCTCATTTAATCGATACGGAACATACAAATAAGTTTATGGAAAGACTTATGATACAGAACAACATTGAAGTTACTAACAGAGAATTAAATTGTGGTTTGTGCAATAGTGTGACTTATGTATCTGAAGTATTCGAGCACTTGAACAGTCCACAACATAATGAAAGAAAAAATCAAGTGAAGAAATTGGTTGAGAAAGATGGAGGCTTGCTTGTGTTGCCGGAAAATATATCAAACATAGGTTCTGCAGTTGACTGTTTGGCTTGTGACCGCTGTGTGGAGTTCAGTCCTGAGGCAATAAAATCTCACATTGAATCCCCAAAACACAGAAGAGCTCGAGCAATAGCCGTTCAGCCATTAAATGCAATATTTTCAGTTGAAAATAGTGATAATGACCTCTGGTGTAAAATATGCCAAGTTTACTTTGAAAATTATATTGAAGTAATATTTGAACATGTGGATGAGGACCCGGGCCATGTGAAAAATCTTAGGGATATTTACAGATTAATTAAAGGTCAAAATATAAATATTGAAAAATATTTGCATGACCCTAAAGAAGACAAGGCTATATGTAAGCAATGTGGAATTGAAGTACCATGTAACACTGATAACTTAGAAAGACACATCCGGGGTAAACAACACATCAAGAGTGGTTCTAATTTTAAGGCTTAATGTTATTGTGAAAACTCAATTACATTGTACTGTGCTTCAAACCTATTTTATGTACTCATGTATAGATAATGAGTTTGAAAATATAATAGCAAGTTGCTACTAGCAAACTACCGAAACTGCAACTGCATAAATGAAGGAAAAAATTTCTCCTTCATTCAGAATATCTGTATACCAGCGATTGGAAGTTGAATGTTGAACATTATTAATATTATCTACTTTTGTAATGCTTAATAAATTATTATTATCTATTTATCTACTTATTTTATTTCTTGTGAATAGAAATAAATATGAATTTATAGTATAATTGAGATTCCATTTTTTTCTTCTTTTTCAACTAAAAAGTTTGTTCCAGTATTTAATAAATCCACGAATTTGTTTCATGGAGATATGGAAGTAGCCAGTAGGGTTACCTACGTTATGTTAATAACATCACGCCTTTTGCCCCCGAAGGGGTAGGCAGAGGTGTACATTATGCCACTGTACAATGTAAAACACACTTTTTCACTATTTATGTTATGTATGAGTCCCATGTAATAGGGGGAGAGCCTATTGCCATATACCGGGCACAATTCCAGACTCTGTGCTACTACTGTGAATTTTATGAAAAACCCAGTAATATTTTGCCCGACCCGAGAATCGAACCCGAGACCCCTTGCCGTTCGCACTTGCGACCACTCGGCCAATGAGGCAGTCAAGTCAGTAAAGTCAATATTTCAAAAATATAATATATTGTAGGTAATGGATAACCTACATAGGAAAATGAGTGATATAAACTCAGTCAGAACCAAGGCCATAACGCCATGGCTAAATTGTATGCTCTTTGTCCCTGGCACAATATGAAAAGTCCTTCTTTTATCGTACAGTTTGTACAATAAAATAAAATTCTGAATTGAATTCATTTATTGGAAGGGCTCATCTCAATTTCGGGGGATTTCTAGAAAACATAATAAATGTTGCAAGATTTAAAATAACTACAAAACATAAAAGATATTGATTTACAAATATAAAAACTAAATTATCTAACTCTATTCTTATAAAACCATTTTAATTAATATTAAGTAAATCAGATTCGACAAACGTTTGTCTCGATTTTGTTACCAATACCAACATATAAAAGTAAACAAGTTTCGCTCCGCTCCTCAATCTTCATTCGTTCGCTTGTATATTGATTTTGCATCGTCTGTCAAACGAAAAAAAATCAAACAAACCTGTCAAACTGTCAAATCAATCCTAAAATATTTCGCGAAAATTTCAAGTTTCTCGATAAGCCGCGCTAGTGCGAACAGTTACTAATATAATCAAAGTGCCCAACAGTTATTTATCACAATGAAAACAGATTTACCGTACGGTATAATTGCGAGCTCTAAGACCCGGGTACGATGCTTATGTTGTGGCGTACATATTCCTAAAGCGAATAAATGTATCGAGCAGCATACAAATGGAGCAAAACATAAGGAAAACATTGAATTAATGAATGAAAACGCTATACGTTTTAGTAGCGGTAAAATGCACTGCAAGCTATGCAAGCGAATCTTATCGGAAGAAGAATCGGTCACGTATCACATCGAGAGCGACGACCATGCAAACTTTATGGCGGCGCTGGAAGATCTCGTCGATGGTGAGTTTATCTCTCTAGACCCCTACCTGGCTTGCGAAAAGGACGAGGTACACTGCGAGGTGTGCAACAAGAACATCTACTGCTCCCTAAAACACATTCAGGAGCACGTCAATGACTTGTACCATCGCTTCCAAATCACAGAACGTCTGAAACCTCTAAATGGCTTATTCCCAGCAGCCAACAATACTGAAGTCTGGTGCAAAGTTTGCAAGATATACATACAGGATAATGTCCTAAGCGTCCTGGATCATATTGATGAAGATGAGGATCATATAGAATGGTTCTCTGAAATTGAAGATCTGATTGACAACCAGGATGTTTCCATTGAGCCTTACTTGACCAATGAACATGAGGCTTATGCATTCTGCAATAGGTGCCAGATGGATATTGTCTGCAATGCACAGAGCATCCAAAGCCACGTCCACAGTGAAGCACATCTCAATCAGTTTGGATTATAGGATTACGCCTCCCGTTCTTATCGTAGTGGCTAGTTGGGTTCAATGAGTATTATTTTTCAGTTCTGTTAATTTTTATTTAATTGATTTATTTTAAAACTGAACATTGTTTTGTTATTATTACATTTGTTACAATTATCTGAAATATATCACTACTAAGAAATTTTATTCATTTTACTGTAGTTAATTTAGTTATTGATTGACTTGATTTAGAATTTAATTGAACTCAACTGAATGACTTAAAATTTGATTGAGGAAACGGGATCATCACCGGAAGTGCACTGCTACTTGCCAAGTTGCATCCAATGGCTACCCGTGACTCTTGGTCAAACTACGATAAAAACGGAATGGGGCTTGGAAACTCGTAATCCTGTTAAAATTATTTTAGACCTATTTCACCACTACTTAAGTCTTTACTGATAGAATACTTTGATGTTTGATGTATCTCCCATGCAATATGGCAAATAAGGTGTCAGTTAAACTAACAGAAACTTACTTACGAGTGGTGAAACAGGCCCCTAGAGTTAGATTTAAATATGCTCTCTATAATAGTCACTGTTTAATCTCCTTAGCAAACGTGACTTACTTAAAGAAGCGTCGGAGAGGTGAAGTTGTACAAGATTATAAAAATTGTATTAAGGTTTTGACTACCAATAGAAAACTGTTGAAGACAAACCCTCCACTAACATCAGTCACGGTTAACCCCATGGTGTTTATTGTGTTAATGTAAATCACACATTAAACTGTCAAACACCAAGCGGTCACCGGTGATCGCAACCTATTGTTCTTTAATTGTGTCTATAAATATGGTACTCGACGAGTTAAACTACAAATGTTTTCAATATTTTAGCATATCTTTTATAATTTTGCTCACAGATCTAGCGCTTCTTTGAGCAATCAGCTTATGATTATAAGTAAAAGTACTAGTACTTGTATTTACTCTATAGACCTTCACACAAATATCCTGTAGTTACAATAGTTATGCAAGCCAAGGATACATTAGGAGACAGATGGCCTGTGACACGTGTCGCCAGCGACGTTGGGTGGAATGCCGCGACGTTGCCGGACTTTAGTCGACATGTCTAGCAACATCAACATCGCTGTGGACATAAGGCGCGCGTTGTCGCCTTATAATATGTCGGACGAAATCGTGGATTAACATGTCGTTGGACTTTTGTCCCTTAATGTATCCTTTGCTTTAATGTTTACTATATACCTAAATATATATTTTTTTAATAATACTGCTTGCCATAGATTCATAAAGGTTTAAACTTGATCTCGAAACGAAAATATTTCATTTAAGCTTTGTAGACTGATAATTTTTATTTTTATTAGTTTAAAAAACAACTTGATAGTCCTTTAGGTTTTATATCTATGATAGTCCATGTAAATAAATAGTTATAAAGTGGTACCCTTAAAAAAACACTTCATGTGTCTATATGCAGTATGTAACGCAATGCTGTAATGAAAATACCTAATCCATAATTGATATAAGCGACTTTTTTATATATTTATAATACTCAATGGCTAATTATAGCAAAACCATATAATATGATTGTATATTGAATATTAAATCAATAGTGTTGTACACCATACTAATGTCACTGTTCGTACAGGTCACTCAACTAGTTTCAAGTAAGAACGAGGGCCCGTAATCAGAACAGCACGCGCGACAAATAACGCGGTTATATTGCATCTTACAATAATAATACAAATTGGTATAATGTTCAAATTATAGTGAACATTAGACTAGGTACCTACTTAATCTCATTAAATACATAATACATATGAATGTAGAATTTAAGCCATCAGCTTCTCAACTCATCTAGTCCTAAACTCTTATACTAAGTATAGAACCTTTATTTTTTAGCCTTTTTACACTTTGGAATGAAAGGAATTAGTGTTTAACATCTCAAAAAGAGTGATGATAGTTACTTGTCATAAGGCATGTAGATACTGACTGACTGACTGTTGCTTAGGTAAAAATTACCTACTTTCAATGTTTTTATGATTTAAAATAAGTTAACATTGATCTTTAAAAGGCAACCTTCACTGTAATTTTGTTCCATTTTGTTCAAACCTTTAACTAGATGCCTGCACATAAACTACAATATTATACTTTTATAATTCAATAAAAATCAAATAATAGCAGTTTGTCATTCATATTTTATTCATAAATATTATAATCCAATTACAAATATGGTTCTCAATTTAAATATAGATCTGTGCTATAAAACAGAACATTTATTAGATAACTAAAAATAAAATAAATAGTTTTTGTTTAAACGTAATACATAACTATTTATTTTGTTTTTTTAACAATGTACTTTAAATATGTGCTTCTGTATTTTAAATATTACTTGGCCAGTAGAAAAAATACGGCGTCCCGATTATACGTTTCGTAAAATTATATTGTATTGTATCTTTTTGTATAACAACTAGGAATACAAATAATACAGTTACTAATCTGTAGTATTTTTATATTTTGATTATAATATTGGGACGGTTAAGTTTCATCATTTTGTGATATTGTTAAAATAGTAATTATTATTTTTTATTTCAAAATAAATACAATAAAAAACAAATACATTGGTTTTATCTAGCAACGAGACACATTCTTGTGGTTTTTATATAATGTCTACAATTTAAAATAATTATTCAGAAATGAATAAAACTAATAAGAAAAAATAATAATATAACAATATAACACCGAAGCTCTAGTAGTTACGTATTAACATATGAGATTTTCATTTGACAAACTTACCATTATTGCATCAATTTTTAACCTGATCTAAATGTTAAGATAATTTTGTTCACCAGTACTTCACAAAATTCTCGATTAATTACGCGTTAAATACTTTTATAAATAAAATTGAGCTTTGTAATTTCGCCGAGTTATATCTAAAATTTTTCTACCAACGTTACCTATATTTAAATATTTGTGTACAGCTATCACTAAAACTTAATTTAAACCCTACGTAATCAACATAAATATTGTTTTTCTAAAATAAAGAACTAATTAACTATCGAATGGGTAGTCATCTTCGTCTTCTTCTTGGATGGATTGTAGCGAAGAATCAGGCCGTGTCCTTGGGGACTGTTCCGGAGTAGGTGAGGCGTTAGGGCTGTGGGGGCCAGCTTCAGCCAGGTTTGGTGGAGGTTGGGGAATTTCTGTAGGGCCCTCCCCAAGCCTGGAGACGATTCTTTCATCGTCTAAGCGCACGACACAGAGGATGTCCTCCGCACAACAGTCTATACGGGTCATACTATCCGTTAAATGGTGTTGTAATTCCCTGAAAGAAGTAAAATAATTTATGTTTACTTAAAAGAGGGTTGTTGGAGGCGACTAAAGGACTACACATTAGACAGAAACTGGGCAGCTGCTTAAAACCACTTATGTTGAAAAGGACCATACTCATGATCCACAGTGGATTGTCAGAAGCTGCTGATCTTGAAAAGATTTGCTAAATACGCACTTGCAAGCACGCATGATCAAAAAAATAAGTGATTCACAAAAACAAACTTTCAAGACCAAATAATAATGAAGAAATCCGTTTACACTTACATAATTCTTTCATGATTAGTCCTCAGTTGTTTGCTGAAGTTCCTCAGCCTGGCCAGCTCTTCTCTCAGCTTCCTATCGACTTCATCCCTAATGTGTTCCCCTGGAGGTCTCTTGGTGCGATCAGCTAGCCTGGTTTCAACTACACGCTCTTGTTCCATCGTCTCCAAAAGATTTTGTTCCGTTGTTGTCATTTCATCTAGTAAAGCTTTGTAGTCTCGCATAGCCTAGAGAAAAACATGTTGGGTAGGCGATGTATCTAAATTATTAATTGACTTTTCCTCTTCTATTTGAAGATTTGGAGTGTAAGCAAATTTACGTATATAGTAAACGAAGACAAGCAATCAAGCTAAAGCAAATTAAGCAACAAAAGACTACTGCTGTAGGAGAACGCAATCGTTGTAATATCAGACAATATCAGGTATACCTACGGAAAAATTATTGCTGTTTATTAAAACTTTAACCTTGTTGATTGGGGATTAAGCATCATAAAAGATCGATATAGCCTCTTGTGGTTTTTGAAATTTTCTGCTTAGGTATATATAAATCTTACTTAATATTATGAATGTGAAAAATTGTGTTTGTATGTTTGTTATCTACTTATATAATCACATCAAAACGGCTGAAGGGATCATAAGGAAATTTAGAATAGTAATAGATTATCGTTTAGAATAACACATAATACTACTTTTCACTCCACAGGAACGCCAGCTAAGCCATAGGCAGAAGCTACTCAAGCATAAATCTTTTGAAGCTTTTGAGTAATGTTACAATTAAACTCGATTCTACTCTACCTCCTGCTTCTGCCAGTAAATATCCTGTAGTTTAACTTTGTTACTGTTCAGACGTCTCCTGAGTGCCGCATCCACTCTCGCAGCGTAGGCTTGCGCCGTGATAGAAAGGTGCACCCTGGCTCCTCGAACCTGATGGTCAGAAAACCATATTTTTAAGATAAGGCAAACTCATTTGCAGAAAAAGGATTTTTAGCGTAAGTTTTGAGTGGGTGGTCTATGTTTGTTATGCGTAATATTTACCTGTTGTCTAGTGACAATTGCGTTACTGAGTGCACGAAGACCAGCAGTTTTTAAAGCTAAGCACCGATTCTCCCATCGAGTAATTGGTGATGTTCTAGAATAGAAGAGAAATAATAACTCAATCATGTAGAATTACGATATGCACAGACTGGGACGATGGGATACCTATTGTCAGCAGAAGATCGTGCTCAGAGTGAGCTATTCGAAGGTTTTAATCTATAGATGATAATAAGTCAAGCGTTTTCTGAACGCTTACAATACCTATTATTTACAAACTACTAATCAAATTGTTCAGGAATAGAATAGGTCACCTCTTTTTCTTTTTCCTTCTTCCACATTCCGCTTTCGCTGGCACTCCTGAAGTAATTTTGGCGCAGGCTTCTTCTACACAGAGAGCTTGCTCTTTTAGGATAAGATCTGCTGCTATCTTCTTCTTAGTCTTCTCAATCGCTGCAGACTGTGTCTCTAGAGCTAGTACCATTCTTTCGAATTTCTTCTTTTCTTCGCGTAAAAAATCAAATTCCTGGAAGACCAATAACCTAAGTAGGTAATTTAGTACCTATAGATTCGTACAATTGCATCGTTGCACCGGAACAAGCTCAAAATTGTTTAAACTTCTAAGGTCTTTTAGTAAAAGACCAGAAAAGAAAAATACAAACACATGTGTAACCTGCAAAATGGCTTCTTCCACGCTATCAGAAAGTGGTTTCAGTACTCCAGGCTTACTAGCATCACGTGAATGATCTTCTATTTCATTCTTCAGTCTGCTGATGACCACACGAAGAGCATTGTGTTCATACTGAAGAGCTTCTGCTGCTTCTGACAAGCGCTTGTTTAGGTCTTCTAATACCCAGCGCCAGGATGCAATGTCTGACATTCTGGAGTAACATTTTAAGACTTCTAAACCTTCTAGTTATAAACCTAGTTGTGTTTCTGTTGTGATTAGAATTTGGAAGATGTTTGCGTTTTAATTGTATTTAAAAGGTTACAAAGATACTTTCTGAATGAATGTAGAAACCTGATTATTTGCACCAAACTGTATGAAGAGTATTTAGTTAAATACAAAATATTCAGATCTTCATACTCAAGTTTATGAATAGGTAACTTTAAAGTGTACAGTCTAAAGAAGACGAAATTTTTTATTACCTAGACAACCATTTTGGCTAGTTCTTCTATAGTATAGGTTTGATTATTGACTATTTACCTGTCTTGTAAGCATTTTTTGAACTGATACTCATTACTTTCGTGTGCGAAGTTATTCAGCATTACCAGTTCTTGGGTGTCGTTCACTTGCTCCACTACCTTGGCGTTCAGTCTGTCATTTAGAACCCTGAGGTCTTCAAGCCCGTACGCCCCCAGGTAGCAGGCCTCGGCGAACATTGTTCAAATTTTGGTAGCCGTTGTAAAAAGATGGTATAATTTTTGGTGTAGGTTATGTTATGGATCGATGTGTAAAAGATTGTCACAATGACGTTTGGTTTGTATTTTTTTTTCAATGGTTGTTTATGGGAAGTTGTTGGTAGCTTAGGTCAGTTATATATCTATGGCTTAGGTAGTTATAATTTATATCTTTTTTCTAAAGTGTAAATCCTTTGTTTTCCCTATCAAGGATCTCTCAAGTGCATACAAAATCAGAGTATGTCCCTATTTAAATAAGTATTAGCCTAGTATCTAGTAAAAAATATAATAGTACCTAGATACAGGTGCATACAAAATATTGTTCCAATAGCTATATAAAACGGAAAAGAAACATTCAGCACATAAAACATTTAGTGTTTTGAAATAATTTCCCAACGTACTTGGAAATAATTACAACAACCTTGTAATATTATTTGTAGGATGACCTGTAGATACAGGCGCTAATGTGACGCAAATCCCTCACAGGGCAAATAATATTTAAAAATATTGTCTTAAAAAAACAAAACATTAAAATAATAAACATTGTTTACAAATTGATCATGACTATTTGCCCACGCTTACATATCTATTCTAAGGTTACTTTTAAAAATCTCTCTAAGTAATAAGGTCATCTATTTAACAGATACCAAAAATGTTTCTCAGATCACATAATAATTTATTAAACTACAATAAAGATATACTTATAACTTAAATTATGTAACTTACTTAATAAATTCTAAAAGCAACACTACTTTTTTTACTTCTGATTGAATTCTATAAGAATAACATAAGCGGGTTTGAGTAGAACGAAGAAGATCAGCTCAGCCACGCTGATTATACTGAATCCCAGGAAAAGACTGAGTAGACCGCCGATGGCACCTGGAAGACAGACAAAAGAACTCAATTATGAACTAGGTATCCTGAATTTGTTGTAGTCTTCTGATTGGTTTCTAGAATAAAACTATCTATAGATAAGGCATGTTTACTACTAGAGATTTTAAAGTATGACGGGCATAAATGTATGGGAACGAATTGAGACTAACCATAGTAACAAATAATAGTCATGAAAAGAGCTTTCTAATGATATACGTCTAGTCTTTATTAGTCGGTAGGTACATTCTGCCCGTCATTGTTATATAAAAAATGTTTTAAATAAGAAATACTATATTTATCAAGCAAATATAGATAGTAATTTTAATGTTAAGAAATGACATTAAAATTACTAATGAAACTGTCCTTTGCCTGTAAGCACGATCCCTAGCAGTATTTACAGTACCTAATCTCGAAGCCTATGTCATCTGAGCTGAAATCCTAAAGGGAACCGTTGAAACCGTTGGAATAATATAAGCCTGATAAATATTAGACTACTAGAAAAAAAAAAAGACTACTAGAAATACTGTAGGTATTCTTACCAACAAAGTAATAATCATCATACTGCGCGTGTCGGTGTTGTCCCAGAAACATGTCGTCGTAAAAATGGACGTTAATCTGAGTCACTTCTCCACTGTAAAAATATACAATATGTTAATTAGCTTACGTAACTTACTGGGTCCAATTATGAATATTAGAACCATTTTTACCAATCGCCCCTAAACTGTGTGAAAAAAGTGTGGGAGAGCCATACTTAGGCAAGAATGGGCCGGCTCGACCGGAGTGATACCACATCCTCACAAAAGACCGACGTAAAACAACGCTTGCGTTGCGTTTCGTCGCGTGAGTGAGGTTACCGGAGGCCCAATTTCCCTCCTCCTCGTCCTCAAATTCCTAATCCCAAAAGGTCAGTAACGCACTTGTAACACCTCTAGTGTTCCAGGTGTCCATCGGTGACGCCGATTGCTTACCATCAGATGATCCGTCTGCTTGTTTACCGGTTTATCATATAAAAAAACTATATATTGACTAAAAGTTACTTAGTATGGGAGCACCTAAGTTAAACCTTTACTTAACCTTAAGGTATTATACAGGTTGGTGAAATAGAAAACATCGTTTAATGTTTCTTAAAAAAAATGAGTAACGAATGGAGTTTCTTGCTCGTTTTTCTCCATTCGAATCAACATTTTGGAATGAGCACCGAGCTTCACTGACGGATAGACTGACAGACTTTTATTTATGTTGTATTTGTTGATATTTCAAAAGTACCAATTTATGGTTTTAATTGAAATTAATGCTTTGACTCGACTCGAGATTGATGAAAACGGATATAGCCGAATAGGTCATCTAGCCAAACACAACCAATTGGACACAAATCACTCCATCAAGATCCTCATCAAAATCAGTACAGTCTTATAAAGATTACATTTTGACTTTGAACTCGTATCATTTTTCACTATCGTCCTTTTTGTCCCATACGTTCCCCAAGTAAGTATTCCTTCCTACTCCCAATACTATTGCTATCATTATTGTCTTTTAGTCTCTTTATCATTACCCACGAGTCACCAGTATCACCAACGAGTTTTAATAGATCTCCAGAAGCTCAATGTTTAGAAATATCCCAAATATAACTTACAGTCTCAAATGTCCCCATTTATGAGATCCATTCTCCATTTCCTTGGTGAGGTCGGAGTAGAACACTTGGCTTGCATAGATGACGTCATTACAGGATGGATGGCAAGACTGAGACTCCTGAGCCTGAGACGTTCCTCTCTCGTCCTCGCTCTCAGCATAGTATGCGTAAATAAGTTGTTCTTCCACTTTTGCTGTGGAAAAATAAATTAATTATAAAGGTTTTCAAGTAATAGGAAATATAAGTTTCATTTTTTCATACCAGGCAATAATGGTTTGCAAGCGAGCCATGGAGTATAGTATCTTTAGAGCCCGACTATAAGACAGAATAAGAAAGTCCACACTGCGCTCCAAAACTCAAATCGCTGACGTTGGTTAGAAGGCCGGGAACCTGAAGTGGAATTGGGCGGGTCACATCTGCCACGTTTCGGACAAGCAGTCGGTGGGCAAAACTCATTACCGAGCGGAGCCCGCTCAATGTCAATAGACGTCGCAGCAGGCCCAGAAGGAGATAGCGGGATGATCTTGACACCTGTCATAGGGATTAGCCATAGGAAGTTCTAAAAAGAGACAAGTGGAAGGAGACTAGGTAGGCCTTTGCCCTGCAGTGCGCATAAAAAAGGCAATCATGAAACCGTTTTGTTGGAAAACGATGAGGAAGAAGAAAATTTTCTAGAAAAAAAAAATGAAATTGCTTTCAAGTCTTCCTAAGAAAAAGTATCAGCAACTACCCGTTAAAGTCCGGTGCTGGATTGTAGAAATCTCCAAAGTGTTTAATCTCTACTTGAGATACCCAGAATGTTTAATTCTGGTGTCTACCTATCATTAGCTAAAAGGTGGCCGGGGAGTTGATGCTCAAATCGTAATTTTGAACTTTCGAACAAATTCTAAGTAACTTCTGCAATGCCTTTTTTTGAGGGGGGAAAATCATGCAATGACTTCTCCCGCCCGGGTGAGGCGGGAGGGAGTGTCTGACTCTTACTGACTAAAAACCACCCTGTTCCTACTCCTGCACTTCGAGCCGAAGCCCCGGCAACCCGTTAAGTCTTCCGCGGCTCCGTTCTGCAATGCCTAGATAAACCATAAGTTTTATCGTCCTAGACTAGACTACGTTAATCAGTTATCACAAAACAACTAAACCAGACACGTCCAACAGAATGAGAAAAAAATCGAAAACTGATATTACGTGAAAATTACGAAAGAAATCAATGAAAAAATTATGACTCAAAAACTACGCAAAATCGTAGAACATACATGGGGATGATTTGGATACTCCTCATCATAAAGTATCTAAATAGTACGGTTGAACGTCAACTGCCCGGCCACCCTGTATATATTTTTCACTTTATTTTTTCAAGGCTCATAAACTATAAGTTGAATGACTTAACTAAAAATAGCGGGTTACTCACATGAATATACTGGGAAAAGCTCTACTAGTTTCGAACCACAGAGGGGTTACTCCTCATGAGCAGTGTGCGCGGTCGCGGCGATGTCGTGCAGATTACTTACCTACTACAGTACTACAGGCGTGACATTTTGCAACCGCGTACACAATTTAGTATGTTTCACGATAGTAGTTATAATAAATACAAAGTTGAATGACTCTTTAACCATTAACAAATTCACAATTCTTTATTATTCACCCCACGAGATGTTACGTACATTTTAAAAAGTCCTTTATTCAAATAATTTAAAAATTATATTGTTCTAGACAAACCTTCAACACTGCTAATGCAATCGAAATCATCTTTCGTAGTACAGACTGGCTCCCAGATGAATTTCCCTGAAAATTGTAAATATGTTATTCATTTGCATAGTTTTTCTAGCAGTTAAAACCTCTATACTTATTTAATGTTCAAATATAGTTATATAAATCCAGACGAGAAAAGAAGTTTTACTTGCATTCTATGCAATTTTAAACCGACTTCCAAAAAAAGGTGGAGGTTCTCAATTCGGCTTTATGTTTTTTTGTTTGTGCACTGATTACCGATTTTCAAAATTCTTTTTTATTTTTAACATGAACCTATTTGTAGACAAAGCATATTGTGGCTAACCGTGTACTTAGACGAATTGATCATATGAAGAAAGGTTGTCTCTATTTTATTTATTTTTTTTAAGGGGGAAAATCATCGCATGACTGCTTCCGCCTGGGTGAAGCCGGAGGGAGTGTCAGACTCTTACTGACTAAAAACCACCCCGTTCCTACTCCTGCACGTAGAGCCGGAGCCCCGGTTACCCGTTAGATTGTCTCTATAGGAAGGTGATACACGTGTAGGCAAAAATCGAGAGTAAAACAAGTAGATACATCTTCAAACAAATTCGCACACGAGGCGTGGCATACGCCTCACTTGTTCTGCGAAGGGACTAATGTTGTCTCATTTGTTTAATGGCGCAAATTACACATGGTTGTGGCTCAGTCGAGATATAGGTATCGTAGATATTTAAATTTTTTAAAGAATGTTTTTGCCGTATACCGTATA